ATTACAGGCATGAGCCACCATGCCTGGCCTAGCAAAATCTTAACAATTAGTAACTTTATATGTACGTGGAATCATTCTTCTACTCTTCTGTATGTCTGAAGTCTTTCACAACAAAAGAAGTTTTAACTTCCCATTACCCATTTAAAAACCATATTATTTCCAGAGGATGTGTCACTATTTTAAAACTACTTGTATTATACACACAATATTTTTGCTTCTTACCATTTTGATTTCTGGAAAAGATTTCCGCCTGGCCAGGTTATTCAAAATGGGGCTCTCAAGGTCTGGGCGCGCGTGGCTCAAGCCGTCAAATCCCAGCACCTTTGGGAGGCCGAGATGGGCGGATCACGAGGTCAGGAGATCAAGACCATCCTGGCTAACACGGTGAAACCCCGTCTCTACTAAAAATACAAAAAACTGGCCGGGCGCGGTGGCTCAAGCCTGTAATCCCGCACTTTGGGAGGCCGAGACGGGCGGATCACGAGGTCAGGAGATCGAGACCATCCTGCTAACACAGTGAAACCCCGTCTCTACTAAAAAAAAATACAAAAACTTAGCCGGGCGAGGTGGCAGGCGCCTGTAGTCCCAGGCTACTCGGGAGGCTGAGGCAGGAGAATGGCGTGAACCCGGGAGGCGCAGCTTGCAGTGAGCTGAGATCCGGCCACTGCACTCCAGCCTGGGTGACAGAGCGAGACTCCGTCTCAAAAAAAAAAATACAAAAAACTGGCCGGGCGAGTGGCGGGTGCCTGTAGTCCCAGCTACTCGGGAGGCTGAGGCAGGAGAATGGCGGGAACCCGGGAGGCGGAGCTTGCGTGAGCTGAGATCCGGCCACTGCACTCCAGCCCAGGACAGAGCAAAAATAATATAATAATAATTTAAAAAAAAAAAAATGGACTCTCCAATTTATTATCAAAGGTTTTACCAGAATCCAGTGGGTCTAGTCCTATATATCAACACAAGTACTTAATAAATACCAGCTTCCATTAAAAATAAATCAGCATAAAAATAATTTAGACAAGAAGAAAGCCAAGACAACATTTAACCTCCAGTTACCAGGATTTGTTAATGGCAACTCGTGCTTCCAACTTTTTGACATTACCACCACTGTGATTTTGTTTTCAAACAGAAGAGAAAGGCTCCATTTATTACTACAAAGTTATAAAATAGAAAAGCAAAACTCCAGTCTCCCTTAGTGTACCTGCACCTTACCTCAATCCATCAGCAGAACAGGGGCCTGACAGCCAAGACCAAGCTCAATAGTTGCTAGGTCTCTGATGATTTTCAGAGTATATTCGTGATTAGCAGAAGCTCTGGAAAGGCCAGAGCAGTCAAAACAACTAGTATCAAATGACATTAGATGCAGAGAATCAAACCCACTGAATGTTCTGCTCACACCTTTTATTCCCACACTGTTTACTGATAATCTGATAATATAAACAAGGAAGGTGTCAGAAATTCCTCTTTATATACAACCAAATTTAAATCTAAAACATATGGAAATTTACAATCCTTAAGTTTGAAGAAAAATGAGTCAAGCAGCAAGTAAATATAAAGCCATCAGAAATTCAGAAGAGTCAGTCACTTTTGGCATACATCATAGAGTTAATAGAGTTCAGCTTGATTTCCTACTCCTTATAAGATATATGACATCGTATGATAGTAATAATACTCATAAACAAACAGCTGCTGGTGTCACAAGAACTTAAATGAGTAATTATGTTCAGAAAATTCTGACTGCTAAGAATTGTCTTCTAATTCTTCAAAAAATCACGATCCATGCATGGTATGGAGGATAATTCTTAAATAAAATAATCCATGAGTCAGCATACAGATTACTTCTTAATCTCTTTATATTTCTAACATGTGAAAAACAAAAACCATAGTTTACCGTTGGATCAAATACTTCAAACAGGCCGGGTGCAGTGGCTCACGCCTGTAATCCCAGCACTTTAGGAGGTCAAAGCAGGTGGATCACTTGAGGTCAGGAGTTCAAAACCAGCCTGGCCAACATGGCATAACCCTGTCTCTACTAAAAACACAAAAATCAGTCAGACATGGTGGCACATGCCTGTAATCCCAGCTACTCGGGAGGCTGAGGCATAATAATCGCTGGAACCCGGGAGGTGGAGGTTGCAGTGAGCAGAGGTTACAATGAGCTGAGACTGCACCACTGCATTCCAACCTGGGCGACAGAATGAGACTCCGTTTCAAAAACAAAACAAAACAAAAACAACAACAAAAAATACTTCTAACAACAGAAAATAGAAAAACAGCAAAACTCCATGAATTTACTATCCAGATTTAATAACTATCAATATTTATTAGCATACATTATTTGAGATTTTTAAAGAAGCATTACAAACATAAACACAGGTTTTTTCTAGTTCCTTGATTCTGCCTTCTCACAAGTTTCTATAATCTTCCATTTTATTCAAAACATTCCCAAATTTCCCACATCCCAGTTCTCACCCTTTTGTCTCACAAACCCATCTTGCTTACTTCAAGACAAGTTTCTTAAAAGACTCTATACTTCCAGTTTCCACTTCCCCTCCTCTTATTCTCTAAGCTAGTTTCTGTCCACTGGACTCCTATTCAATTCCAAGCCCTCAGAAACCCAAGGCTACTTTTCAGACTCCACATTACTCAACCTGTTGGCAACTTTTCTTTTTTTTTTTTTCTTTTTTTTGAGATAGAGTCTCACTCTGTCACCCAGGCTGGAGTGGAGTGGCTCCATCTTGGCTCACTGCAACCTCGGCCTCCTGGGTTCAAGAGACTCTCGTGCCTCAGCCTCCCGAGTAGCTGGGACTACAGGCATGTGCCACCATACCCACCTAGTTTTGTATTTTTAGTAGAGACAGGGTTTCTTCATGTTGGCCAGGCTGGTCTCGGACTCCTGGCCTCAAGTGATCCACCTGCCTCGGCCTCCCAAAGTACTGGGATTACAGATAGAGCCACTGCACCCAGCCACCTGTTGGCAATTTCTGAGTGAGGCTCACAGATGTGGCTGTCACCCAGCCTGAAGGTCCTCAGAATTGCAAATTACCATATTTAGATAATGGGAATCTATTGCTGGGACTTCAGCCCCAGAATTCTGGGGTAAAAGGCATCTGTAGAACTTAGTGAGCCAGGACCCACCCAGAGGGAAGTAGAGTCAGAAGGAATAAAATGTATTTTCAGGCTGGGTACAAGAAGCTCACGCCTATAATTCCAGCACTTTGGGAAGCTGAGGTGCAAGGACAGCTTCTGCAAAGGAATCTGAGACCAGCCTGGGCAATATAGTGAGAACTTGTCTCTACTGAAAAAAAAAAAAAGTGCTTTCAACTACAACTTCAGCAAAGGGAGATTACTGACCAGAAATCATAGCTCTAAAAATTCTGGAAAATCCCAAAATCATGAAAAAAAGTATATGCTTTCTATTCGATTCACACAGACAATAAAGACTAAAGGAGCTACACCAAAATGTTAACAATGATTAAATCTCTGGATGTTAAGATCATGGATAGTTTTCATATTCTTCATTTTAGTAATATTTATTTTCTACAATGAACATGCATTTTTTTTTTTAAACAAGGGTGGGTGCATGTGTGAGGGGGTGTGTGTGTGTTTGTGTGTTTAAGCAAAAGGCCTGGCCTACATGCCTGTCTTTCAGTGTAACAAAAGGTGTTGCTAGGGAGATACAGCTCTACAGAACATCGGAGAAAACCTCCAGGGAACGAGTGGGTGTTGGCAGCTTTAAAGAGGAAAGAAAAGTAGGCTGGGTGCATGGGAAAGGAGAGCTCTCACACCAGTCTGGCCTAATATAAACCAAGAAGTGCCTGGTGTTCTCCCCACGCCTTCCAGTCAGCCACCAGGTCCTTTTTATTCTCCCTTTAACATACCACAAAGGTCTCACCACTGCTCTGTACCTCACGCTACCTTGATTCCACCAGGCATGCTGATGGTGTCTTCACTTCCGACTCACTGACTTCCAATTCCACCTCCACATGGCTACTAGTGTCTAAACTGAAAATATGGTGGGCACCTGAAAATATTTCAGGACTATTTAGAGTACAGTGTACTCTAAACCCTGAAATGTATACAATCCTCTGCTTACCTTCACCAGCTGGACTGCCCAACCCAGACACCTGGCTCCAGTTAAACTCAATACCCATAGTTCCCTGAACATCCCATGCCCTGGCTTTGTGCCTCTATGCACACTCTTCACTCTGCCTAGAATATGCTTCCTCACCTTATCAACCTGGCAGACTCCTACTCATCCTTTGTGTCTAGCTCAAAGGAGATCTGTAAAACACTCCTAGTCAGCTGGCTGCTCCCTCTTCTGTAGGCCTTATTCATTTTCTACATAGTATTTTACAGCACTTCTTACCCTACTGGAGTTATTGCTAAAATATGTCTACCCTACCAAACCATGAGATATTTAAGGCCCGAAACTACATATCCACATGCATCTGGAATAATTAGACACAGCAGACATTCAATAAATATTTGATGAACAAACAAATGTGTTTGTTTTTGCTATATATTTTTATAGATATCTCAGAAATAAATTTTCGGATCTGGAAACAGGTACTGACTGATACTGGTGCTCTCTGAATGAAACCAATTCAAAGTTAGAGACCTAACTGAAAAGAAAGTAATGATCGAGACAAATACATACTGGGCAAATGGTAAGATTTCTGTCATCTTAACAGCTAAGGACATCAGAACTGTATCGATTTCGAATTAACAACCCTCTCAAATCATACTTTGAGGATTACATATTCCGGAAGGGTTTTTGTTTTTCTGTCCATAGTGGTAGTGGCAGTGGAGATGGGGCACTGCTGAATGTCTGTTAAAATGCAAGGCTAATCACAATATGTATCTTTTCTTCACAATCAAATCAGCAAAAATGGCTGATAACCAAGATGGAAAATTTAAGATCAATGGCAATAAAACAGAATCTGCACCTAATTCTCATTTCCATGTATTTTGACTTTCAACGGTGCCTGCCTGTTGCCTACCTGAGCTAAAGCAGGGATTGAATTTTGGCCAGTCTGAGTCTGCATATGAGCAGACTTGCTCTCTGTCAAAGAAGCTGTTATATTTCCATCATGCTGGGATTCAACTGTTTCCATGGTCATTTGTCTGAAAAGACAATAAAAAGGAAGACAAATTAAGGCCCTATCTTAAGTATTTGGAAATACAGGTTGAACATCCCTCATCCAAAAATCCAAAATCTGAAATGCTCCAAAATCTGAAACTTTCTGAGCATTTACATGATGCCACAAATGGAAAATTCCACATGTGACCTCATGCTATGGCTCAAAACTTTGTATCTTGTACAAAAATCATTAAAAATATTGTATAAAATTACCTTCAGACTATAAGGTGTATATGAAACATAAATGAATCTCGTGTCTAGACCTGGCTCTCATACCCAAGGTAATTCACATGTATATGCAAATATCCTAAATCCAAAAAAATCCAAATTCTGAAACAATTCTGGTCCCAAGCATTTCAGATAAGGGATACTCAACCTGTACTGTTTTTACCTAGCTTTCTAATAACCATTTCTGACATCCAATTGTACTATCGGTTTTTGTTTTTGTTTTTTTTTTCAAGAAACAGGTTCAATAGTAGAGTCCTAACTCTCTCAGCTTTTCTTTTCTGCTCACTGAATATGAACATTACCAAGGGAGCACTGCAAAACGTCTTGTGAGAACTACCTTATTTTAAAACTTAAAAAACTTATAATAAAATCTTCCTGATCATTACTTTAACCCTGCTGTTTAGCATGAATGACTGGAAAATTATGTTTCCTATTTTACATGAAAAGTATAAATATTCTATGATTCTCAAGGCCTAATAAACCTGTTTTATATTATGAGGTAGCATGAAGGAATTTCCCCATTGTCTAAATTAAATGTATAATAATATTAAAATGTCTCTTGCTTTGTTATCACTAAGTCATTTCTGATAAACAAACCCCAATTATTGAAAAAAGAGGACCTAATTTTTCCAGGAAAAAACTTCTGATGTGATTTGAAGTTTGTGTATGAATTCAGTTTAAGTTAATGATTTCTATATGGACTCTTTTTAGAAGGCAAACTATATTATAATAAATTTTATCCTGTTAAAGATAAAATATAAACAAAATAAAATTTAAATTTAAAAACTTACAGAAACTAGTCCCTGTTGTTATACATCTTTTCAGCTGTCAATAATACAGTATGTTTTTTTCACCTTAGTCTAACTATATGTCCAAAAAGTATATGGTCCACTTAGACCTCTGAATTAAAATATCCAAGTTGTTTTTCCAGATTTAATTAGTTACCAGATCCTACAGATCCTTCATCTACTGTCTTTGACTTCATACCGCCTTTTGCATTCCAGTAGCCATTAGCCAAATTCAATCCTTCCATGCTCAAACCTGTCTGCTATCGTCTATACTACAGTTATTTTAACACTTACAACTGACCAGGACAATTTAGAGCAATTATACCAAAATACAAACATAGAGCCTACCATAGAAAAATGTCTTTCCCTATATATTGCCTAATCCTTTATCTCTTTTCTTAAAACTTCCCAGAGTGGCCTCTCCAATTCTAGGTAATTATAGGTCGTCATCACACATAAAGGGTTAACTCCTACTGTTCTACTTTTGGTTACGTGAGCAGTTTCCAAAGAAAATACCTCAAGACATTAGTTCTGCAGGTTCTAAAAAGGCATTATCTGGGGAAAAAGGGTAGGGAAAGTGCTTTGTCAAAACGTTTTAAAGATTAAAAGGGTTTCTCTCCCACAGAACATCTCAAAAGCTTCAATCCACTAGTGTGTCTTGAGAAGGGTGAAAGGCACAGGTCCAACAGACACCATTTTCTAAAAGTATCTGACCACCAAACAAACCCTTTTCCCACAAAGTATGCCTTAGCAGGAGTATTTTGGAAACCACATGGGAAATGTTGTCTTGTGCTATTTTGTATACCTTTGAAAGATAAAACCTTTCTTAAGGTTCTGCAACAACTTGGGTCTCAACTCAAAAATTACATGCCGAAAGGCCTTCCCCAGTAAACTCTATTTCATTCTAGAAACATTCATTTAGCATCATCTACATGGCAGGCTCTGAAAATACATAAGCAGGTAAGTCATGGCCCTTGCCCTGGCGGAATCCATTAACTATGTTGTTGGTTTCTCAAATTATGGTCCTTGGACAACTCGCATCAGAATTAACGAAAAGTATTTGCCCTAAAAAATGCAGAAGCTTAGGCTCAACCCCAAATCTAGTTAATCAAACTTTCTTGAGAATTCAACTTCTTATATTCAAACAATTCCAATATGTACTAAAATTTGAAAAACACAGCTTATTGGCAGGTCAGTAATTAAAGTAAATCACAAGTAAAGTAATTTCTTTCTTTCTTTCTTTTTGAGGCAGAGTTTCGCTCTGTCAACCCAGGCTGGAGTGCAGAGGCATGATCTCAGCTCACTGCAACCTCTGCCTCCCAGGTTCCAGCAGTTCTCTGGCCTCAGCCTCCCAAGTAACTGGAATTACTGGCGTGCGCCCCCGTGCCCAACTAATTTTTGTATTTTTAGAAGAGACGGGGCTTCGCCATGTCGGCCAGGCTGGTCTTCCAACTCCTGACCTCAGGTGATCTGCCCGCCTTGGCCTCCCAAAGTGCTGGGATAACTAGGCATGAGCCACCGCAACTAGCTGTAATTTCTTGAATCATGTGATGTATGTGATCCATTAAATGCTCTGGAAAACATAAGAGAATGACTAAGTCCGCCAGAGGATGTGGTCATATGAGTTGTACATTGAAGGTTGAGTAGGATTTCACCAGCTAGAAACGACAGGTCAACTATGAGAGGGAGGAAGTACAGAGGATATTTGGGAAACAGAATAGCTGACTGGAGTAGAAAATCTGGGGGAGTAAAGGGGGGATAATTAGATTTAATGGGAAAGAGACAGAGTAGGACTGGTACAAACAGGGCTGGAAGGGTTGCATGGAATTAAATTAGGAATAATCTCTTTTTTTTTTTTTTTGAGACGGAGTCTTGCTCTGTCACCCAGGCTGCAGTGCAGTGGCGCGATCTGGACTCACTGCAACCTCCGCCTCCTGGGTTCAAGCAATTCTCCTGCCTCAGCCTCTCAAGTATCTGGGATTACAGGCACGCACCACCACACCCGGCTAATTTTTTGTATTTTTAGTAGATACAGGGTTTCACCACGTTGGCCAGGCTGGTCTCCAACTCCTGGCCTCAAGTGATCAGCCCGCTTCAGCCTCCCAAAGTGCTAGGATTACAGGCGTGAGCCATCATGCCCAGCCTGAGTTACAACTCAATAACTGATATTTATAATAACTATCCTGAGTCATCAAAAAAAGGCTAATTATGTTCAGTATACTTTAAGGACAGAGGAGTACACACTGTGGAATCCAAGAAGTCTCCCATTTAAAAACAAAAAAAGTTTTAATGATTAAGAAAATAAACTATTTGGAACTCAATTTTTGAGATATGATAAAAGACTATAAGCTATGAAACAGATTTCAAAATGTTTTATACATGAAAATGTCTTGATACGTATCATCTCAAGAAATCATTTTAATTGGTCCATTTTTCTCTGGGGGCATTTCCCAGAGAGTTCAGTCCTTTGCCCTTTTCCTTTTGTCAATATTACAGAATTTTCCAATATGAATACTATGGCTTCTTCAATCCTATATGCAGATGGCTCCCAAATCTGTATTTACACACACTTCCCTCCTACTGAGCATCTCAACCTGGGGTTTTCATGGACACCTGTCCCTTCTCTTTTATCTCTTCTTTTAGTCAAGAGTATCATCGTCCATTCAGACTCCAAAGCTAGAATCGTGTATCTACATTATCAGTCAGAACCAGATCAACCACAAAAAGCAACCCCACAAAGCTAAACATCAGTCAGAATGCCATGAGGCCTTGAGCCTTAGGGAGAAAGGCAGAGATGGAAGGTCAGCAGCCACCCCAACTCCTCCTCCTTACCAGAATTTAGCACTGGGCACTGTCCGCTATAACCTCCCATCGCCTCACTGGATAAAGTAATTGAGCTGCTGTTCCACACAGTTGCTGCCACCCACTCTGAAGACAAAAATCACAGACAATGGGCCTCTCCCTAAGCCACAACTAAACTGCAATGCCCCTGTACCCATGCCAGAATCATACTCAAATCACTGTCCAAGATATAAACTCTTTCCATATTTCATCTTCACTCTCATAACTAGTGCTTCCTTTCCCTCCATAATACAACCCCTCACTCCTGTTCTCCTTCCAAACCCCAGCAATGTGCTATCTGGAACTCCCAAAGCCTCGCAGCTGTCCTCTCAAGAAGGTACTGCTCATCTTCCCACACCCAATCAAGGTCATCATGTCGAATGGCCATCTGCTTTGTTCCCCACTGTTGCTTCCCACCTGCACCTCCTTTACTCCCTTGTAAAAACCCTTGTTCAACTGAGGCTCAAGGTCATCAGGATCCATAAGATAATCAGTATCTACTGACCTCCAGGATGTAAACTGAAGACTCTGGCTCCTGATGTAAAAGTCTTCCTCTTCACCATTCTGTCTATGTTCAACACTCAAATGAAGACCCATCCCTTACCCAGATGTCTGAGATCAATGACTTACTTTATGCCACTTCAGCCATCTACTGGAATGGTTGGCCACACCCTGGACACTGCTAATGTGCAAACTGGTCCAGCTCTGAAAAAATTAATTCTGACATTCCACCCTGCCTACAACATCCTATTCCCCCAGCTTACCCTCTCCCTTGACCACTCCCATCACACTTGTTATTCCAACACACTGAGATCTCCACACCACTTTCTCTCTGCCCATCCACCTCCCTCTTTCTTCACTTCCCACCCTATTCAGCTAGCATGGCTTCTCATTTTAATTATTGTCTCCCAGCCAGGCACGGTGGCTCACGTCTGTAATCCCAGCACTTTGGGAGGCCAAGGCGGGCAGATCACGAGGTCAAGAGTTCCAGACCAGCCTGGTCAACATGGTGAAACCCTGTCTCTACTAAAAATACAAAAATTAGCTGAGTGTGGTGGCAGGGGCCTGTAATCCCAGCTACTTGGGAGGTGGAGGCAGGAGAATTGCTTGAACCTGGGAGGTGGAGG